GACTGCAGTCTATAACGGCCAGTCATCATTGGCAAGGGGTTAGGACCTGCTGCCTTTGCCTGTCCTCAGGCTGCCCCTCTGCAGCCCCAGTACCTTTCGTAGGCCTTAAACAAGGCCTGCAGCCTGGGGGTTTACCAGGCTGGAGCTCCCCAGCTCCCTTTGCCCTTCCCCAGCACTGCTCCACTTCAGGCACCTTGCTTCCAGGCAACTAGCCCCTCCCACTCCAGGGCTAGAGTGAGACCCCTCCAGCTTCTGGCCCCGCAGCCAGCGGTGAGCTGGAGCCGGTTCGCACCGGTTCGCGCGAACCAGTTGTTAAATTCTGAAGCTGTTTTAGAACCGGTTGTTAACCCGCTTCCCTGCAGGGGGCGCTCAGGCTTTGATGGGCTCCGGCCGGGAAGGGATGTAATTCCTCCTCCGGCCGCTGGGGGCGCTGCGCTGCAGGAGCCATGTGGGCTGCTGCCTGGCCCTGGGCACGAGCCCTGGTGCTGCTGCTGCTCCCCTGACTCCTGGCCCTGGGGCTCCCGATGCTGCCTGGTGGGTCCCCGGCTGCTCTGCTGGGCCTGGGCTGCATCCTGCTGCTCTCCCCATGAGTACCCACCACCCTGCCCGCAGCCAGCCCCTGCCTCCAGCCACCCCCGCACCACCTGCCTGCAGCCAGCCCCTGCAGCAACCCCTGCCCTGCCACCAGCTGCCCCCCCGTCCTCTGCCTCCAGCCACCCCCCGTCCCCTGCCTCCAGGCAGCCCCCGTCTCCAGCCACCCCCTGCCCTGCCTCCAGCCACCCCCGCACCCCCTGCCTGCAACCAGCCCCAGCCGCACGCACCCCCTGCCCTGCCTGCAGCCAGCCCCTGTCTCCAGGCACCCCTGCACCCCCTGCCCACAACCAGCCCTGGCTGCACGCACCCCCTGCCCTGCCTGCAGCCAGCCCCTGTCTCCAGCCACCCCCACACACCGTGCCCGCAGCCAGCCCCTGTTTCCAGCCACCCCTGCACCCCCTGCCTGCAGCCAGCCCCTGTCTCCAGCCACCCCTGCACCTCCTGCCTGCAGCCGGCCCCTGCTGCACACACCCCCTACCCTACCCACAGCCAGACCCTGTCTCCAGCCACCCCAGCACCCCCTGCCCTGCCTGCAGCCAGCCCCTGGTGCACCCTCTGCTCCGCCCGCACCAGCCCCTGCCGCACCCCCTGCCCTGCCCGCAGCCAGTCCCTGTCTCCAGCCACCCCAGCACCCCCTGCCCTGCCCGCAGCCAGCCCTGCACCCCGTGCCTCCAGCTAACCCTGCCCCATGCCCCTGCCTGCAGCTGACTCCACGTCATTTCTAGTTCAGGCCCATCTTTTTAACAAAGAACTTTAAGCAGGATTAACATACATCCGTATTTTCCCGGACAGGTCAGGCTTTTTGGTTCTTAAATCGCCGTCCGGGAGGAATTTTTAAATTTTAAATTGGTACAAAAAATACATACTGGGGCACATCCCTTAAATCAGAACTTTTTATAGGGAACCGAATGGCATTTTGGGATGTATAAGTAGGGGCATAGCGAGCAGATTGAGGGACGTGATCGTCCCCCTCTATTCGACATTGGTGAGGCCTCATCTGGAGTACCGTGTCCAGTTTTGGGCCCCACACTACAAGAAGGATGTGGATAAATTGGAGAGAGTCCAGCGAAGGGCAACAAAAATGATTAGGGGTCTGGAACACATGACTTATGAGGAGAGGCTGAGGGAACTGGGATTGTTTAGTCTGCAGAAGAGAAGAATGAGGGGGGATTTGATAGCTGCTTTCAACTACCTGAGAGGTGGTTCCAGAGAGGATGGTTCTAGACTATTCTCAGTGGTAGAAGAGGACAGGACAAGGAGTAATGGTCTCAAGTTGCAGTGGGGGAGGTTTAGGTTGGATATTAGGAAAAACTTTTTCACTAGGAGGGTGGTGAAACACTGGAATGCGTTACCTAGGGAGGTGGTAGAATCTCCTTCCTTAGAAGTTTTTAAGGTCAGGCTTGACAAAGCCCTGGCTGGGATGATTTAATTGGGGATTGGTCCTGCTTTGAGCAGGGGGTTGGACGAGATGATCTCCTGAGGTCCCTTCCAACCCTGATATTCTATGATTCTATGATTGTTAAGATTTTGGCACTGCCCCCAGCCCTCTGAGCAGGGCCAGCTGTGCCCTAACTGAGCTGGCCACACCTGTGGTCAGCTACTCAGTCAGCTTCCCGCAGCTGTTCTCACCCCTTTTCCCAGCTGCAGCCCTCTCCAGGGCTGCTTTTAACCCCTGTTCTGCGGGAGTAGGGCTGGTGCCCCACTACAACTTCTCACTGGGGCTTGTAGTTGCAGACTGAGTGTCACTGGGAGGCATAGTGTTACCATATTTCAGGTTCCCAAAAGGAGGAAACTGCTGGGGGAGGGGGAGGAGTAGGAGAGGGGAGGGGTGCTGGGGGAAAGGGGAGGAGCAGGAAGGGGAGCTGGAGGGGGTGTGGCTCCAGCTGTCATCCCGGAGGTCAGAGTAGAGATCACAATGGCTCCTTCTGGCTTTACAATCTATGAATCTACATATCCTAGTTTATAAACAAATTCTCTCTCTAGGCTTGGGCACGTCCCACTTCTCTGTGTGCTGCCCCATCTTGTGAATGGGAACAAACATGCTTCTGTACGGTACAGGGCTGTTTGGGAAGGTTAATTAGCTAATGCGGTACAGCAGTCTGCCAATATGAAGTGTTGAATAAAAACATCATTGGAAGGGTCTGTATAACAGAGCCCCAAGTATTGAGAATTATTTTTCATTTACAAACTATTTCATAAGCTTGAAGAATCAGGTGGGGGAGAGAGGGTGGAGGGTTATTTTAAATGTAGACTAAGCATACTGATGTCCACTGTAATAGAAACATCCATCCATCCTCTTAGCTATCCCTGATCCAAGTTTGATCTCAGGGTGCATAGCTTCTCCTAATCCAGTTTTTACAAGATCTGGGGGATATTCCAACTCCTTTTCTTGCCTTTCCAAACATACGGTGTAGGGAAAGTAGGGAGGGAGACATCAGGCTATTTCCTCTGGAATGATAGCAAAGCCACTGTGTCAGAGCGGGTTGCCTCTGATAACAAGCAAGGGTGAGGCTGTTGCAATACCCAGAGGGTTTTAAATAATTACCCCCATCTCCCGTTTCCTGCCCAGCCCAACCAGCCATTGGCTCAGGCATCTGTCCCAGAAAACAATCTGCCTTATCCCATGTCACAGATTACACATAGCCAGGTGGCACCAGGCTGGTTAATGTTACTTGCCCTTGCCTCCCAAAGGAGGATCCCCCTCCCCACCCTCTCCTAGTTAGAGAGACAAGGTGGGTGAAGTAATATCTTTTAGTGGACCAACTTCTGTTGGTGAGAGAGACAGGCTTTCAAGCTTACACAGGTTCCTAGTTGTAAACTGCAACTGTAAAATGACAGTTCATTCGGGGGTGGGAGCACCTCAGCTGCATCTCAAAGGGTTTTTTAAAAGGCCTTTCCACCATGGGGATTTTTAAAAGACATCATAGCTAGATTCCTACCTTCTCATCTCCCCGTCCTCTGCCTCAGACGCCTCTCACATTAACTCAGCTTTCTTGGCATACTACTGTAATTACACTCCTTGCCTGTCCGCCAGCCTCTGCAAAAAAGCCCTCAGGATGAATAAAGCAAGTCCAGATAATCAGTGGTAGTCACAGGCAATTGCATGGGCTGCACCAACATGCATGCAAACATCTGATCTGAATGTGCAAACCATGTGCACGTTACATACAGATCTAACTGGCAAAAACAGTGTAGCTGATAAGCATAGAGGCAATATAGCTGATGTGCATCTGTATGCAATATACCTGATACGTGCATGTACATCTGACATTTGAGTGCATGTACATTTGCACACATCTCTTTTATGCCATCCTGGGTTGCCAATGAGGACTCAACCTGGGACCCCAAAAGCTGGTGGCAGCAGTGGAGCAGCCTCTAGACAGGAGCACCCAGGACAAGCTGAACCATGGGTAATATATGTTCACAACTGCACGCCCCCACCTTTAAAACGCTGGGAAGACCTGGAAGATTTGCCTGTCCATCCCCACTACTCTGGACTCCTCAGATCCCTCTCTGCCAGGTACATGGCACGCTGCCCCCCCAGGAAGAGAACACATGGCTGATAGAGGAAGTGCTGTTTCCAAAGACCAGCACAGGGCACAGTTGCTGTTTACCAGGAAACCGAGATGAGGCTTTGGTTGCGCTGGGCTGACAACGGGAGTTTTCCCACCCTATGTACCTGGCACTGAAAGTACATTTTGTCTTGGTGGACGCGAGGCAGCAATAAAGGGGTTAATTACACAGGTGACACTTCAGGCTTCAGCAGCTCCAAATATAAAACCCTGGATATCAGAGCCTGAGCAGTAGGAGGCTAAAACCCTAAGGGGATTTCTCACATGGGGGAAGAACTCCTATCTCCCCTCCCCGTAATATTCCAATGCGGGGCTGCCTCCCACTGCTTCAGCCGTTCCCACCTACTCCATTTCTCTGTGTTGCCTCTAAACTGCTTCTCCACTCCCATCTTCAAGCTGCTGTAAAGGAAATGAGGTGGGAGTATGAAATCAGTTCAGAGCAGCAGCAAGAAGAGAAGTGGGGGCTTTACGAGCTCGGGAAGCCCAGGGTATGCCCAGCAGCTGGACTGTGTCCCCTAGAGAGCTGGCTGATCTCTAAAATCAAGGTGCAGTCTCAGTTTGATTGGGCCTTTGTTTCTCGGAAGGAGTCAGCACCTCTTGAGATGTCTGGGCAAATACTGTGATGCATTTTGTGAACAGTTTCATGCTTGTAGCATTTCCATAGCGGCAACAATAAAAAGAGAGATGCTGTGAACACCAGATCTAAAACAAGAGTTTGGGGGGGGGGCAGTCTGGATGGAGCTTCACTGTTTTCTGGGGAGGCACTAACATCCCAGCTCCTGCTGTTTCTATGTCAGGCTCTCCACTGAGTGTTTACTGTTGCTGTTTCCACAGGGACATTCGTGTCTGCCTTCACTGTGCTGTGCGGAGCCCGGACTGACCTCCCCGACAGGCACATGTGCTGCGTCTTCTGGCTGAACATCGCTGCGGCGCTGATTCAGATTCTGACGGCTATCGTGATGGTTGGCTGGATCATGAGTATATTTTGGGGGATGGACATGGTCATTCTTGCTAGTAAGTACAGTGCAATCATTGTCTCCACCCCCACGTTGTTAGGGCTCAGCTAGCGTCCTGGAACCCAGCCGAGAAATGAGGAAAGTGGAAACAGTACCAGGCGGCTTTCATTAAATGGGGACATTCACACTGAAACAGAGGGAAAAGAGACATAAAGAGTGGATCTGCCCCAGCACTATGGGGAGGTTAGTGATGACATTTGCTTGATTTCTTCCCGTGATATCAAGCTCTGCTCCCAGTAGCTGAATGTTTCTGTAAGATGCCTAACAAAGTTCACCTTTCACTTGGCATCATTATGCTTCAGAGTGAACAGTGTTCCACTCAACAGAGTAGCCCCCACTTCCCCGAGCGATTGTTCCACAGTCTCTCTGCAGACTCAAGAGGACAGGACGGTGTTGATTCACTTTGGGAAAGCTTTTTTCCCCCCACAACCATTAAGTCTAGGAATGTGATATTCCATTTTAGAATGAAAGCTGTAGAAATGAATGGGGCCACCAGAGAAGTGCTGGCACAAAATACTGCCCCCTTCCACTTCAGCCCAACCCCTGCTTTACAGGGCCCCATTTCCTGATGTTGCATCAATCGGTGTTCGAATAAGCACTCTCGCCCTCAGCAGTCCCACAGCATCCTCCCATTTAACCGTACTCCAGCTAACTGAGGTGAACCCAAGTTTAGTTAGACTCTCTGGTGTTGTACTTTAAGGCTTGGTCTACACTAGAGGGGGATCGACCTAAGATACGCAACTTCAATTACGAGAATAGCGTAGCTGAAGTTGATGTATCTTAGGTCGACTTACCTTGCATCCTCATGACACGGGGTCAACTGCTGCCACTCCCCCTGTCAACTCCGCTTCCAGGAGTTGACGGCAGAGCAATCGGGGATCGATTTATCGTGTCTACACTAAACACGATAAATCGATCCCCGATAGATTGATCACTACCCACCAATCTGGGTACGTATGTACTCTTAGACTACATCTACATTCTGAACAGCTCAACTGTGCTCATAGTGTAGACAAAACCTCAGGTAGCTACCTCCACAGATGCCCTGAATCCTCCTCATTCTGTGAGTGGCTGGCTCCCCACTTTCTCATAAACCCCATTTATCCAAAGGTTTCTTAAGATCAATTTGTAGGCAAACGAGGTTATCAATGCATCTTAAAGCTTTCTCCAATGTAAAAGTCCCCTTTTGGGACCTTGAAACTCCAAGAAAGACCTCAGTCTTAGGGGAAGAAAGAGACAAATGCATCTCTAAAAGGCCTGGTCTACACTACAAAGTTAGGTCGACGTAAGCGCATGCGTCTACACTGAAATTTGTCTCCAGCCGACATAAGTGTCCCTTTACAGCGACGCAGTCAAACCACCTCCCTGAACAGCATGGAACCATGGTCAAGCTACTGAGGTCAGTGCGGTGCAAATACAGACACTGTGTGGCCTGTGCCAACCTCAACAGTCTTCCAGCAGCTGTTCCATAATGCCCCATGCCCTGCAGTACTGACCACTCTGGTCACCATTGTAACCTCCACTTCCCAGGGGTCATGGAGCCTGGAAGCATCCCCCTTTAAAGACCTCTGCATGTTTTTGAAATGCCTTTTCCACATCGCTCACCTTTGTGAGCACACCAAGTAGTTCACCCTTGATGCATGCAACTCCCCAACCGACCGTGCTGGCTCCATGAGCTAAACTTGCTCTTGCCAGGAGCAGAAAGGTGGTATTGGATCTCCTGGGCCTGTGGGAAGAAGAGGCTGTGCAAGCGTAGCTACGGACCAGGTAGGAACATAGATATCTATGAACAGGGGATGCAGGAAAAGGGGTATGACAGGGATCTGCAGCAGCACCATGTGCAAGCAAAGGAACTTGGCCAAGCATAGCACAAGACCAGGAAGGCCAACAATAGATCTGGTGGTACCCCATAGATCTATTGCTTTTACAACGAGCCGCATGTCAGACATGTCAGACCCAGCAGACCATTGAGGATACCTTGGAGGCTAAGTTCCCTCTAAGCTGTGCAGGCACATGGCTGCGCAGCAGGCTATCAAGGGCCACGCAGGCATGCAGAGGGGAGAGGCACCTCTCCCCCAGTCTCGGACCTGGAGCTGCTGCGGCTGGGAGAGGTGCCTCTCCCCCAGCCCAAGCCCTGGAGCTTCCCCCGGCCGGTGAGAGGCACCTCTCTCCCGGCCCCAGGCTGCTGCGGCAGAGAGAGGGCTGGGGGGAATCCTTCTCCCCACCACAGCTCCAGAGAAGCCTCCACCCCAATCCCCTCATCTCCAGCCCCACCCCAGAGCCTGCATCCCCAGTCAGAGCCCTCACCCCACTAGTCCCCAACCCTCTGCCCCATCCCTAAGCCCCCTCCTGCACCCCAAACCCCTCATCTCCAGCTGCACCCCAGAGCCCTCACTCCCAGCTCAAGTCCCCCTGCACTCCAACCCTCTGCCCCAGCCCTGAGCTGCCTCACACACTCCGAACCCCTTGGCCCCACCCCCTCCACACATCACCTCCATATTGGTGCACATAGAAAAATTCATTCCGCACGTGGATGTAAAAAATTTGAGGGAACATTGCTTGGAGGACCCCAAGACAGAGACCCCCTGCAGTGACCAGCGAGGACGAGAAGGTGTGGGAGGGGGGTGACACAGGAAGGAGCTCCAACCATGCAACAAGCCAGGACCTGATCTAGACACCACCACAGTCTAGCCAACTCCAACAGGTGAGCATAGATGAGCCTGGTGGAGGGGAAGGGAACTCGGGTAAGTGTGTGCATGCATTTTTCCTTCGAGTTTTTAAATGTAAAAATGGCACCCGGCCCATCCCAAGTTAACAAGACACAGGTATTGACTTTTCATAGTTGTACTCCTACGAGATGAGACAGAGGTACAACTAACAAAGGTAGAGTTGGCCTCTGCTTTTCATTCCCTGTAGGTTAGGTGGGAGGGCCACGCGGAGCAGTTTGTTTATGTACACAGGGATGTCCCTTGTATCCTCCTGAGAGATCTCAATGAAACTTTCACGGAGACACTCTGCAGTCGTCTCATGACGGTTTCTAGGGATGGCTGCCTTATTTCTTCGTCCTTGGTAGGACAGTTTCCCACGCCATTCTGCTATGAGTTCAGCAGGCACCGTGGCAGTACGCAGGCTAGCAACATACAGGCCTGGGCAGCTTCGGGACGCCAGGGATAGCTGTGCTCTCTGTGCCTTTGTTACCCTCAGGAATGAGATAGCAGCTAAAATCCCCACTGCCTGTGGACAATGGCACCAGCATTCAGTGTCATTGCCCTAGACGCATCCCCGTGGAACAGGGACTGAAATATTATTGCTTCATGCAACAAAAAATCCTTCACCCTCTCCTCGCCCCGGCAGGCCAAACTCCCCATGGCTGGGCCTGGAGAGTGGTGCTGGGCACTCCAAAGCTGAAGAGTCAATAAGCATGTCTCATTAGAAGTGTCTATGGGAATAAGGGAAGGGAGTTTTGAAACTTATCTTTCCCTTTCTGCTGTGACTGTAAATCCAGAGGTACATCTCTCTGCTTTTAATAGCAGCTTCTGGCATGGTGGCCTTCAGGGTGCCCCCTCCACACCTGCAAAATGCCTGATCTGATGAGGAGGAGACAGAAGAGGACACAGGAGGACATACTCAGCAAGATCCTGCAAGCTGGTGCTGCATCGGGCACTGAACAAAGGACCTGCAGGGCCAACATGGCAGACGGCACAGAGAAGGAAAGAGATCAGGAGAAAGGCCCAGGAGTCCCAGCATGAAAAGTAGATGAAAATACACCAGGACATAATGGGTCTTCTCAGGCAGCAAACCCAAATGCTGTAGACCCTGGTTGGCCTACAGGTTCAAAAATCCTGGCCTCCCCACCCTTTTCAGTCCTTGGAGAACTCCATGGTCTCTGCTTTGTGCACCCCTCAACATATTATGTGGCATCACAGGCCATATCCTTACCCTACCACTCCATGCTGGAGGAAACAAGGCAAACTACAGCTGCACATACACGAACCTGCAAGAACCACGGTCTACATCGGTCTACGTTTGTGCCCTGAAATGGAGAGAAATATTTGCTGCCTCTCCAGTTTTAAAGTTCCACGCCATTAATTTGTCAAAAGGTTGTATTGTATTGCCTGGGGAATGGGCAGCTCACATTGATTTTCTGCACTGTTTCTCCTACTCAATAACATATTATTTTTGGAGAATAAAATTATCTTTGTTCATTGACAATGCATACTGCAGAATGCACAGTGGCACTCAAAGGGAATGGTACTTGTAAATGTACAGCAAGTACCACGTAATTCGGAGCGTCAGGAAAACACTGGGTCCTCGTTATAAATGCAGAGCAATTCTTAGCGGCACCCAAAGAGAGCATGCCAGCAGAGAACACTACTGTGGCTGACCGTTAAATTGTTCTTTCAAAGCCTCCCTCAACCGTATATCTCCCCGCTGGGTTCTTGTAATGGCCTCTGGCTTCTCAAAGGCCGCAGGCAGCCGCTCACCCTCCACCCTGGTGGCAGCTTGTCCCTCTTTGCCTCACAGATATTACGCGAGACACAACTAGCAGCTATAACCATTGGGCTGTTGTTCTCAATGAGCTCCAGTCTAAGGGAGTAAACACTGCAGGCTACTAAAAGCACATTCAACTGTCATTGTGCACTTGCTGAGCAGGGAGTTGAATCTTTCCCTGTCAAGTGGCTGGTGTGCGGCTTCATGAGCCAGGGGCAGGGTGGGTTCCCCACAGTCACTATAGGCATTTCGATATTGTCAGTGGTAATCCACCAGTCAGGAAAGAATGACCATGGTTGGAGCTTTCTGAACAGTCCAGTTTTCTTAAAGATGCGAGCGTCATGCACCTTCCCTGACCAGCCCACACTGTTTGTGGAGAAGCATCTCTGGTGATCCACCAATGCTTGCACAACCATAGAAAAATAGCCTTTTCTGTTGATGAACTCTATGGCCAGGTGGGCTAGTGCCAAAATAGGGGTATGTGTGCCGTCTACTGCCCCACACCAG